GGAAAAAGGTATGGCTTACCAGTTAGAAAGTAAACTGTAAGAAATATGTTGAGATAATACAAATATTTAATCACTGAGTTATTGGCTGTTGATTTACAGGTGCAGGAGTTTGAGCATGTAAACGGTCAGTGGTCGATGCCCTGGATGGCCGAGCTGGAGGAGAACAAGAGGGCTGCAGCTTTGGCTGCAGGTGAAGACCCAAAGACTCCTTCGACTGGGACCCCTGCAGACACACAGCCAAACACTCCTGTCCCTGGTACACACACACACACGTATATACACAGGAACACACACAGATAATTCATGCACATGTACACTCACTTACTTACATGTACATACACACACCACTTCAAAAAGAGCCCAAGTTTAAAAGGTTATAAGCCTGTCATGAATTTCTTTGGTTGATTCTTTTTGTGTGTAATGAAGAAAGTGCTAATGAATTTAGTGTTCACTACAAACAGGCCAAACCAAAGTTGTTCCTCTGATCTTCCTTTGCCTTCGCACAACCAGCTTCACCCTCTTAAGTTCCTGGTTAATGGCCGTCGTCAAAGCCTGCTGCTAAGCATCTGTCCTAATAGTGCTTGATTGCCCACTTATTAACTTGAACCTTGTTAATAGAGAAGATCAGATGAAGGAGATGTCTATATGTGTCTGTAATTGAATTGGAAGCTAACTTGAACGCGCCACACACAACTACACACACCCAGAGGGATACACACTGTGAAGTGTCTCTCCATACGTCATACAACGTACTGTCGGAGCCACTTTGATTTTCCTCCCCTCCTCTAACCCTCCACACTGTAAAAGCCACAGAGAAGCTCATTAACAGTCCAGCCAGCTTTAACGTGCACTGAGAATATTTGCGTTGGGTGATTCGGGGGTGAGGAGGTGGGCACCCACTACTCAGCCAACCAAAAATTGTCCTAACCCTGGCACTGGATGAGAAAAAGTGACAGAGGAGAGAGGTGGTTCTTTCCCTGGGGAATTATTTCCCAAGAAAACACCGCCTGCTAATCATTAGAGTGGCACTTTTGTCTTTATTCTGAATCCAGTACCAGTATGTTCTGTTTTGAGCACTCTAGCAAATTATATTATGCTCCATTTATTAAGTAGCATTTGGTGTGACATTATATACATAACTTTTTCTCTTGTGGATGTCTTTTTAGTATTTTCATCCCTCTTCTACTATTTCCTCTCCATCTCTCAACCCTGTATCTTCTATCATTGGTGCCCCCCACCCTTTATATACACACACACACATACACACACACCTTGTCTCCCCCCCTAGGGGGCGTTGTGTAGTTGTGCAGTGCTAACGATCCAGGACTGTCACTCCCGCAGGGATGGATGAGTCGGGCGGACCCGGTGCTCGGGAAGCCTCATTAGGATTCCTCTTTAATCCGTCTCTGACAGGACCAGTCCGAGAACGGGATGTCCCCTCACACACACACACACACACACACACACGCACAAAAACACACACATGGTAGAGGCGTACACACTACATAGACACTATCATAGAATTATACATCACACACACAAACACAAATGCACTTTTGCACAATGAACAGACTCACTGATAGACACACAGACACACACACACACACACACACACACACATTGTTATGCTAATGATGTGTTATTCTCCCACCAACAACGATCTTCCATCATCCTGGTGTCACTGCCTATAGAAATCCACTACAGATCATAAGAGCTTATTATGGGTGATTAGTTAATTTGAGGGAGGGAGAGTTGGGAGGGATGCTGGGAGGTAGGAAGAGAGAGATTGTTTTCCTTCTTCGCTGTCGTCTCTACTAACCTCTCTACTTCTTTTCTCTCTCTCTCTCTCTTGCTCTCTTTTGTCTCGCTCTCTTTCTTTCTCTTCCTCTCTTCCTCTGAGATATATTGATCAGCACGTTGACTGTGTTATCAATAATCTCCTCTTTAGTCGTCTGCGAACAGTGATCTTCACTAATGAAGCAGAGCAGTTGTCACACTGCTCTTTCTATGTGTGTATGTGTGTGTATTTGTCTCTAAGAGAGGAAAGCTGAGCCTGGAGCTTTAAAACTAATAAATGAAATGTAAAAAAGTGATACTGCAAGTTGAACTTTTACAATGACTTCTAATTAAAGAAAAGTATACTATTGTTATTGTTTATTTATTCTTTTTCTTTAAAATTATAATGATGGCATTGTTAATCAAGAGTTATACGACTATAATACCCAACTAAAGCTATTTGAACATAATGTCAACAATTTCCAAGCCACTAAATAAAAACGTCATTTTATGAAACTAAACAAGATTCAGATGGATTAAGTCAGATGTATGTGAGACAACAAAGCCAACATACAGTAACAAGAAAGGAACTAAATCTATCATGTCCATGGTCTGTGGACCATATGTGTGTATGATTGGTGTGTGTGGCAGCCTTATGTTGAGTGTGTGTCCGTAGGCAGCTGCCGCAGCGTGGGCTTTGGGCTTCATTATGTGGCCCTAATGACCTGCTGACAGCTCAACACTGACACATACACACACACATACAGTGTATTGGCATCATCATACACTTGACAACAGCATAGCCAATTAAAGAAGGGGGAGGGGAAAAAGAGATGTATATTTATGTTTATGGATCATATAAATATACAGTAAGTCTCTCCTCTCCTCTCCTCTCCTCTCCTCTCCTCTCCAGTGAAGTCTGATAATGTGATTTCAGCTGTTTTGTCCCCAGCAGTTCCCTTTTAATTATTAACACTGACATTATTAGGCTTTCACTATTAAGAGGCCTTTCATTAGAGCTAGACAACACCCTAAAGAGAAATTTGAACTCACTTTCTCTCCCTCCCTTTCTTTCTCTTTCTCTCTCCTTCTTTCGGAGAACTGAAAAGTGTGTCACTTGCCACTGTACTTTTCCAGGTATTGCGTTTATGAGATCAGCTATATATTTAGTTTTCTCCTGTATGAATGTGTGTGCACAGTATGCGTCTACCAGATTTCATTGAAGCATTTAAGGCACATTGCAGAGGAGACTCAAGCCGGCTGGGTCCAACCCACTCTGAAAAGGGGTTATTTCTGCATTAAGGACCCTGTGGAGTGGGTTGGGGGGGTGAAGTTGCCTCCTACAACATGGCACGCTCCTTAAGCCATCAGGCATGGGGAGGGACGCCTAATTGAACATGATAAAGTGTAAAGTTAATTACCCCTCATGCCTGTCACTGATACCCCCATGAGGGGGGCTGGCCTCAGGCACAGCTGTTGTGGTGTGTGTGTGTGTTGTGTATGAGAGAGAGAGAGAGAGAGGGTAAGGGTGACAGGACAAAAGGCAAGGGCTCCCGTGAGGGTTGTGCAGTGGATGATGGCAACAATCGGCTTTTAAAGATACCTCTGTCCCTCTGGTGCACCACTACTTAACACGCCTGTCCCACTATGAGTCTAAAGTACACAGCTGACCTTTTAGACACAGTTGGTAGTGTTGAAACAGTCAAGTGGTTGATATATTATGGTCTTTTGTGTGGCAAATCCATATATTTTAGATGGATACACCTGTTCACTTGTGCTCTGTTATGAGTTTTGGAAAATTGAGCACACTATTTAACATTCCTTACAGTTTGCAGTGTGTTGCAGGTCCATGTCAAATGTGTCAACTGTATTTATCAACTATAAGTGTTCACGTCTGTTCGCTTCAACTCTGCATTTGAACATGTGTGTTTAGGTGTCGGGGCTGCCAGCCTGGCCAAACTGACCTTCATGGTAGGTGGGGTAGAAGAGGAATACCAAGCTGCTCAGGAGCTGCTCACCTGCATGGGAGCCAATGTTGTCTACTGCGGACAGGTTGGCACTGGACAGGTAAATACACACAAACAGACAGAGAGTACACGACCTTCCTGCTTTATAAACTATAGCTTCACATGCACAAAATTTCCCTCATTTGAGTAACTTAAATACATACTGTATGAACACACTTATGTGCAAATCCATAATTAGTATTTTTTATAATCATCAGTGGAACTCATAAAAACATTTAAAACATGAAATGGATTTTGTCGTTAATCTTATCAAAATCACATAAAGAAATTCTCTTCAGGAAGATCATTAAATCCACCTATTTCTATATCTGATGGAAATTAACCTGAACATACAGAGATCTATGGGTTGAATTCTGCTTTACTTAAGGATCTATGCTGAAGTTGTTTTTCATGAGACAAATTATGTTCACAATTTAGATTTGTACTAAAGATCAACAGACCATCTTTCCTTTTGATCACAAGGAACAATTTGTCCCGAACATCGTGAATATTAAACTGTAACTTGTTTTGAAAAATAAATCATACAAAATAAAGATTTTACATCACTAATCCAGTAATGATCATGCAGAATGTCCCATTTAAATATCTTTATAGGGAGTCTGTTGTATCATCTTATGATTATGTTTGATACACCTTCAAATGTGTTTACATTCTGCATTATATGCTGTCTTGCAAACCTCCTTATACGTATATATATATATATACATATATACATGCAGTAAAACAGCCTTTTCCGCTTTCTGGTCAATACTCTCTAGGCAGCTAAGATCTGCAACAACATGCTCCTGGCCATCGGGATGATTGGGACCGCAGAGACCATGAACCTTGGCATCAGGTACTGTCAGCTAATGCTGCGCTAAGCTGCTTCCTACCTGTTATCCTGAAGGGAAAAGTTGTAACAGTTAGTGGTAGTGCACCGATAGAAAGTCTGACGCAGGGGAACTTGTGAGTAGGCTATTAAAAGTGGATGTACCTGGCGTAAACTTGCACACTGGAGTATGAGCTAGTAATCACAATATGCAAATGAAGCTCTGTGAGGTTTAACTGCATATGAAAAGCAGGCGTGGGATGTTGGGATGTGGAGCAACAACAAATGTTGACGTTTCTAGACGTTTGGATATAAGAAGTACAAGCACCATAAACTTAAAGATTGCACGTTTGAGGCTTCCACATTTTAGCTACACATAATTTTGGATTCGACCTGACCCTTAGATATAGCCATCACTATAAAAGAAATGACTATACCAGTCATATGGCTGTAACTGTGGCTGTAATTCACTATTTCAGTACAGGTGTGTGTGTGTGTGTGTGTGTGTGTGTGTGTGTGTGTGTGTGTGGTGTGTGTGTGTGTGTGTGTGTGTGTGTGTGTGTGTGTGTGGTGTGGTGTTGTGTGTGTGTGTGTGTGTGTGTGTGTGTGTGTGTGGGTGGGTGTGGGTGTGGGTGTGGGTGTGTAGTTTATGGAAGTGTGAAGGGGTCAGCCCAGCCCCAAGTCAGAGAGACGGATGAGGGGGTGGAGCCACAGACTCTGATTTACATCTGCTGATTGAGCTCTCACCAGCATCCTGTCACAACCCTGTCGCTGAACGCCGCCTAAGAAACCCATCCATTATGATGCCTCGTCCTGACACAGAGCCTCTTTGGCCAGGAGGCTGAGCATTTTGATATTACCTGAAATATCTGGCTCACCTAAGGATGCCGGACAATTGTGAAAGACCTACAAGGCCTACACATCAGTTATCCCTCACACAAGCCATTAGATTGTTTTCCTTATCTTATTATCTACTTTATTTATACATATCCCCTGCCAATAATAGACTGTTTCCTCTGTCACACTGTTGCTATTATTTGTTTTTATGGGTTTTGCAACTTAAAAGGTGTGAGCGCCCAGTTGTGTGTTTGTGTGTGTGCGAGTGTGTGCATGTACGCGAATTGCTGCTCTCACAGTGCAGCTGTGTTAGTGCAGCTGATTTATCTGTGCTGAGACAGAGGAGGAAAATTGGCATGAGCAGTCGCACATAAATCCCCCCACTAGGCCTCTGAAATATGGAGGCATTAAGGGAGCAACACAGATTTACACATTGCCACACTGTCTCTGATGCACACACACACTTAGACACACAGATTTACATCCACAGACACTGAAGACAGCAGTTTTCTACCAAACTACAACAACTTCTATTCACTGGGCACATCATTATAATGTATGCCTATGAAAAAAGAATAAGAATACTAACTACAGCATCCCTTAACTTTGAATGTGAATTATTTTTTATATCTCCAAAACTGACCCATATTCTGTCTTTGTGTGTGCATGCGTGCGTGTATTTCCATGTTTCTACCCCCCTTCTTACTATCCAATCTCTAAGGCTTTATGATAGGGTTTGACAAAGACTGTCATCGTTTAGAGAGAGCCCACACCCGTAAATCTCCCATGCTGCATTGCAGCCCAGTCTCTTATGCAGAGGACGCTCTCTGAGGCATGTGTGCGCAGAAACACACACACACATACACACGACACAGTCCGACACAAAGGAGACTGAGCACTCAAAGCCAATTTACAGGAAAACGGCAATAACATTTTATCATGCTGGACTTGGGCCTGATAGAGCTGCCCTTTCTTCAAATATGTGTGGGTGTGCGTGTGTGTTTCCCTTACCTATACATGCAGGCGGACTCACAAGCACACACACTCGCACACACACCTCTGTTCATGGAGCTAATTTGTTGATCTCAGATGGAAGCTCGGGCCGTCTCCAACAGACCGTGACGTTCTCTTAGCGCAAGGAATGGCCACGCATGACAATTATGAGCGCGCACACACACACGCACACACCCACCCTGCCTTTTTTGCTGTCCTTTCTTTCCCTCTCTTTCAGCTTTTCTTCTCCATCCCTATTTGCTTTACCTCCTTATTTTATTCTTTTCTTTTAATCCCTTCATCTCTCCTCTCTGCCTCTTTTCTGCCCGCCGTAATTTCTGTATGCAGCCAACCAGTCAGTGAAAGAGGAGGGGTGAGAAGCTACTCAGAGTAGTGGAGAGAGGCAGCGGTGATTTTAATGATGCACGTGGAAGATGAAAGGAGAGGAAGGAGAGGAGAGAGAGGCGACTGGCCCAGGAAAGGGATATGAGGCTTTTACAGCTTACGGTTCACCTTGCACACCTGTGTACCTGCATTCATTCATGCATACAAGGCATGCGGTCACTGTCATTGAAGCACAAGCAGACACACACATATTTTCCCCTTTATTCATTTTATGGGGAGAACAACAGGCGAATCAAAGGGTATAATAAGACGCAACCCTTTGTGATGAAAGACAGAAATAGGTTTTGCCACAACACACATGAACAGAGACACATCTCTCCTCCTTTTTAAATGAATTGTGAGCATATGTTCCGATGAAGATTAAAGTAGGGTGATAAATGCGCTTGTTGCCTCTATAAATGGGATAGTAAATGCTTGTGTGTGTATATGTGCTCGTTAGCTCTTTAATGTAATAATAAATGGGAAAAGGGTTGAGCTTCCTCTCCCGTGGCATCAGATGAGGAAGAGAAGCTAATCGCAATGAAACAGACAGTTAATATCAGCGCTGCAAATGAACTCCACCTGCTTGATCTCCCCCAGCACATAAACACATGAACACCCTCCCCTCTTATTTTCACCTCCACCACTCTCACTCTCGCATTTCTTTAATCTGCAGCGGCATCATACAGCAACACGTTTGTCTCACGTTTGTGTCTTTTGTGTGTTTATCCATGTCAATCTTGTTAAAGCGTGACATGTCCTCTTCTCCACGCAAATTACCGCAGGCGAGGAACAACACCACTGCGTCAGCTAATAACCGCGGCTGTGTGCGAGTGTGAGCGGTTGTGTGTGTGTGTGTGATGGACGCAGGAGGGGAACTTCATTGATTTATCGTTAACAGAGGACAACAGCTCCCCGTCAGCGTCTCTGGTCGCTATAACAAACGATCTGCGCGCTCGGACGCGCTTTATTGTAGCTCAGCCAGTAACCTTTTCAGCTGCTGACCCAGAACGCAGGGAGGGGCTGCCTGCTTGTGTGTGTGCACGGCGGAGAGATGGGGGGTTTGTGCACGATGTCAAACATATGTCCCCCAGAGTCCTCAGACAGGGAGGTGTCAGCAGGGAAGATGAGGGGGAGGAAGAGGAGAGACAGAGAGAGAGAGAGAGAACAAGTGGAGGCAGAGGAGAAGAGAAGCAGGATGGCAAAGGGATGCTTACAGACATCCACTAAAAAAGCCATCATCAGAGAGACTGACAATAAAGAAACTGCGACCTAAAACACATGTTTACACACACATGCACGCATGCAGCGTTATGCCACATTTCCAAAACAGTTTGTTAAAAAAAACAGTGCGGACACAAAAGAGACGAAGGGGAAGGGAGGAGGGAGAGACATGGAGAGAGTGTAAATGCAATTCCCATTCTTAATTAGTTAGTAGACAGCTAATAAAAACTGTGGTAGTAATGGCAGAATGAGAGCCAGGTGGAGTGAGGGAGGGAGGGAGGCTGCTGGCCTTAAGGACCTATGATGGTTTAATAGTCATATTGAGAGCAGAATAGAGTTACAGCCCTGTAAGTAACAGTGAACTGAGGCAGCCAGGGCTTGATGTGGTCAGCTTTACACTAGCCTTTAAACTGTTAATAAACAAAAGCTGCACTACACAAGCAGATTGAACAACCGACAGAGTTACACCCTCCCTACTGTAATGGTTGGCACTTTGTTTCACTCCCTGCTTCTGTCTGCCTGTGCTCTCTCTTTCTCATTTGCTTCTTCTTATCATAGCCTGGAGATTTGTCCTCTTGCATATGAAAGTGGGTTGCTTCAAAATGGGGCAGCAAGGAAGTGAGAGCGTACTTCTATACATGACAGCAAGGTTTATGGCTCCCCTGTGCTGCTTAACCACTTCTCCTCCTCCTCCTCCTCCACTTTCTTTTTTCATGAAAGAGGGATGATGAAGGATAGATGTGCTGGTAAACATCAATACTGCATTAGCCAGCATTACAAAGCCTTCAGCCATTAACACTGAGGAATGGTCACAGCCTAGCATAAGGTTCAATGGGGGTCACTACAATCACCAGCAGCCCCACACCCATCTTTTTCTATGTTCCTCTTTTGCACCGTTTGGAAAATTAATTCCATGATCGGCGCTCCTATCCCTCCCATCCCGCCTGTCCCATTTCCTGACTACTTCTAGCATAATAACTTCTTCCTTTTCTATCACTACCCGCACTTTTACCCTCTAGCTCACCAGCTCATACTGAATCACTCTGGATTAGAACATTAGCGAAAAGCCTCAAAAGTAAAGTGGAAATAAAATCATCTATTCACCTTCCCTGTAAGAATCTGTAATATAAGATATTTGATTTCATATTGTACTTCATTCAAGAGAAAGTTCAATGGGCTTTCTGCAGCTAATATCATCATAGGTTTACCCTTTGCGTCAGTGAGGCAGAAAATGTAATCCTTTAGACAAGGACCTAAACCTTTACACCAGCAAATCTATTGTGAAAAAAAGACTCACTTCTCTCACCCAGATCTCGACCAGAGAATGTGTCAGCAGGGTTTGTGTACCTAATTTGACCATTTGACCCATGACTTTCGCTCCTGAAGGAGACACTGACCTCTCTGTCGTCTTCTCCTCTTCACAGGCTGGGTTTGGACCCCAAGCTGCTGGCAAAGATCCTTAACATGTCCTCAGGTCGTTGCTGGTCCAGCGACACGTACAATCCAGTCCCCGGCGTCATGGAGGGAGTCCCCTCAGCCAACAACTACCAGGGTGGCTTTGGAACCACACTAATGGCCAAGGTACAACCTGTTCACTGTCATTTTCTTTATGTCCACCATCACCTGTGACTCTATCTTTGGACTGTAACTAATAATCATTTTGATTATTGATTAATTTCTTGAAAAAGTGCCAATATAATTTCCCAAAGCTCAACCTGACTTGAAATAGCTTGTTTAGTCCATTTAACAATCGAAGATCTAAAGATGTTCACAGTTAAATAAAACAGAAAAAAACAACAAATCTTTAAATTTGATCATATGTTTTGGTATTTTTCCCAGGATACATGACTTCATCAAAATGCCATTTAATTTTATGCTGGTCGAATAATTATTTCAGTTACTACAATTAGTCTTTTTCTTTTAGTCTCCTTTTTTGTCAGTCTTTCAACCCTGTAATTAGCTTTGTCCCACTTTTAACTGTTCTTTTGTCTCTGTGATTCTCCTGCTCTCCTCTTCCCCATCCCATCTGTGACTTATTATGTACCACTTACTTTTACTGCATTTGCTTTTCTGTTTGGGTCAGTCTGTGTCTGTGTATTATTATTAGTGCATCTGGGTTTCAGTCAATACACTTGCAATGTGTGCTCGCAATGTGTAGTTGTATCACACACAGCAAACCTAAGAAATCTAATAGAACTGTCCACCATTAGATAAACAAAAACAGATTATTGTGTTATTCCGACTATCTGACTATCTGCCCCTCTTTCTCTCCGTTTCTAGGATCTTGGTTTGGCTCAAAACACTGCCACCAACACTAAGACACCCATCCCTCTGGGTTCCCTCGCCCACCAGATTTTCCGAGTCATGTGCTCCCGCGGCTACGCTAACAAGGACTTCTCATCCGTCTTCCAGTTCCTACGCGAGGAGGAAGGCCAGTGAATGGAGGGGGTTGTTAACATACACACACACACACACACACACACACACCAGTGCCCCTTATCCCACTATGCTCAGGAGAAACTAAGGCCTTGCCCTCAGGCACAGATCTGCGGTCCAATTAACATACTGTATGTCGACACATGTCCCCTTTTTGCATTAGCTGAATCATATTTTCAGTTCCCTCTGCAAGGGGGAAATGCTAAAACTGACCTTAGATCAGTATCTAGAGACAAAGCAACTCTCCTCCTAGTCTGAGAGGCCAGAGTGGAAAATGAGAGGTTGGGATGAGGCACTGCAGGTTTACATGTAACAATGCGAATAATATGTGGTTTTTCCGGATGATTAATAAGTAATAACTGCATGATTGTTGAGGGTTTTGCGTTTTGCCTGTTACCCAAATGACTCGGACCTGTCCTTGTTAATTAAAAGAGGACAGAAAAAAATACAAGCTACAGTAAGGATTCACATTGTGATGGACATTTCTTTGAAGAGACAGTGCAAGAGAGTGCAGAGTTCAGGTTACAGAAATAAAATCCCATATTCACAGCACTACATGTAAGGTAACCAAAACTGACCACACCGTGAGCCTAAGGTTTACTTGCTTTGTTACATTTGTCTGTTTTTGGCAGGAAGATGGTGTCATAGTCATCCTGCCAGCATACATAGCTTTCATTTGTTGATTTTATTTCAGTCATCCAGCTTATTTTTTAACTTGTTAATACACTAAATTGACAGTAGTTTCAGTTCTTTGTAACATATAACAACATTTAAGTCACTGGATCACTTACTGGATCGACCAGTTCTGCTGATTTAAATACTGTGATATATATCTGGTTATTTTTGCACTGTGTGCATCGCAGTGCGATGTGCCGGGCCATTTTGATACGGTTACAGAATCTCTTTGAACTTACCTCACTTCTATACACAATTCTACTTCTTTACATCTGCTTATCGAGCCACTGGAGTATTATTTTGTGACCAACACTGTTTTATACTGTTCACTACAAAATGTTGTTCCCACTGTCTAGCACTTTCTCTCGTCCGTTTTTACTTAAAGTCTATCCTCACATATTTCTCCTCGGTCTCAGCTTGTACGACATTGATGTAAAGTGTAAGTGAGGAATGGTTCCTCCCTGCTCTGAGCAAATGTACATAATGTATATTTCATATTGTTGTGTAGTATTGAAGAGGAATCTAAATGGACTGTCACTTTTTTTTTTTTGTAAAATTCATTAATAGTGTCTACAGTTTGTCTTTGCTCTGTGAAACAGATCCTCAGTCACACTGTAGCCTAAAATAAAAGATGTTCTGTGTATTTGTGTGGTGTTTGTCTGGTTTTGTGAAATACGTTTTTGACATTGGTGCACATTGTAAAAGTAGAACTTATAGAATTACATTTGGAAGTGATTATGTCGGTAAGGACAGATCTTTCTAAAGGTCAGATAGACAGAAAGCTAATAAATAAAGTGACATATTGCATGGATAAGTGTGCGAATATCGTAACTTTCAGTTTGGACACATTGACACTTCCAGCACATAAGCAAAGCAGACTCCCCCAGCATGCATTGGAAACCCTTCATTTTTGTAATTTGAAGAAAACAGACATGATGGAACCATCTTTGTGGTTGTATGATAATGAAAACTAATGCATACCACAATTAATGTTAGTATCAAATACAGTCCCAATCCCTTTATGTACAGTTATTGGATTTGTAGAAAAGTTAACATTTGTTATATACTGTACATGCTCAATACTTCCATTCTGTAAAAGAGAGAGCCCTCCTTTGTTGCTCTATCTAAAGATTGTTAAATTTTTTTTCTGATAAGGTTTTGTTTGTAAAGTTTTTCCTCTTTAAAATCAAGGATCTAGGGCTAAATGATGTCATATTCTTTACAGATTGTGAAGCCCCTCAGGGCCAAACTTGTGTTCTGGCCTATATAAGCAAACTTGATGTCTTAACAGGTAAGGGGACCGAGAGGACAATAACACACAATTCAGTGTAATCCTTTGGTTTTTCAACTGCATCTGTCTCACCATGTGTACACGCCACAGTCTCCTGGTTCCATGTTTCAGAGTCTGTTAGACCAGACTTATTTAACTTGTAGTTTGATCCAGCCATCCTGCTCTTCAGTGGGCTGTTGTTCTATTGTTCCTCCAAAGCTCTTCAGCAGGCGCTCATATAACGCTTAACGTCAGTCGGGGAGAAATAGCAGCACTAATCTCAGAATGATGCCCTTATTTCCATCATTACAATGAAATGAGAGGAAAATAACAAATGCGGTTTGGTTTTATTTCACTCCCTTTTTTTCTGAGGGCTGGTGTTTCTTCGCGACATTTTATGGAGCTGCTGTCGTCTAAGTGGCAGCCACAGTTGTAGCAGACTGCGGCGAGCCGTTGGTGGCAGGGGTTGTGTCGTGGGCTTGTGACTCACTCTGTTATTGTTCTTTGGGAAGTATGCACTTGCCTCTGCTGTGTGCTTTGAAGAATATCTTCATCTGATTATACAAGAGGAGTATTTCTGTGTTTAGATGAAGAACATGATATTACATATCTCTCCCCATGAAAAAGCCGGTGTCGCTTGTCAGGCAGGATTTAGTATCTTTGAGCCTCCAACACCATCTTGGCCTTTGCAGACAATAGACTCTGGTCTTCCTGAGGTCTCGCTAAAGAAGAGCTACGCCTCTGGCCTGGCTCGCTGTATTAGGGCAGTGTAGCTGATTCATATTTGGGTGTTTTAATTTGACTGTGTTTTATAGGAGGCTGCTGAGCCGGCGGTTTCCTCATTAAAGGACACATGAAAGCAGGCTGTAAAGGAGCCTTGGTGAGACCGGCCTGCGCTGACGTCTGAAGGGGACGCAAGCGACCGAAGGACCCACCGAGTCCCGAGCCAGCCGGTCTGAGCCGGAGGGCCTCACCCTCTCAGTCAGGCACCCAGTGGCGGGACACCAGACACACCACACGGAATTGTGTCCACACCAGGATATGACACCAGTCTGATGTGTCAGCAGGAGTTCAGTCTGATGCAGGATTTGAATAATACTTACAATACTTAGCTGAGAGATACCCTGATCATAGATACTACTATTGAGACACCCACATGAACCTGAGATAAACTAGTCTCAAAAATAAATGTAAGTAGCCTATGTTATACAGAGATTATATAAGTTTTGTATCTTTGCCATTTCTGCTGGTGTTTTCTCAGACTTTGAAGTTAATTGCCCGCCTGGTAAACCACCCCCCTCTGCCATTTAGAGAATAAAACAACCCCGGCTCTGAGGGCTGCTGCTGTGATAAATACCTGAGGCAACAGCGTTCATTATTTCACCATTATAACTGCTGGTGGATCCTCTCGCCTGTTTAACGACTCGCTCTTTAAAAGGAGGTAAGAGCGGTGGGGTCACAGCTCAGGGAGGGGAGGCGAGGCTCCTCTAAGCACCCCGTGATTCATATCAAACGCACGTTAAGTGGCATGTGGCTAAATTAGTGGCTGGAATCTAGCAGGTATAATAGCTAACCCGGCGGTGCGTAATGAGCCACTGTCTCACTGTGTAGTAATGTGGCCTTGATATCTTTTACATGAACCCACCAATAATAGTCAGGCTATTTAGCCCTAGCCCATATCCACACCCACAGCGTCTGCACATCAGCGCACCCACACAAAGTCTTCTTCCTGTTTTGTAGACAACATTCCCCTATCCTGAGTCATTGACTCCGCTTAGGTTCATTAGTGAAGATAATTCTTTTGCAGACAGCGGGTCAGCACATAACATGTCACGACGACAGCGAGGCACATAACAGCAGCTAATTATAACTATGAAGTCCTCATTAGAATATCTAGTGAGTTGTTGTGAAACACGGATACACTTCCTGGTTAAAAAGGTTGCATCTCAACAATGTGAGTAAACATCTGAGGGAGAAAGGACTTGTCTTGCTATTTTGTATTCACTCACTTTTCCTGCCTTTGTAACTTACTCCACGCTGGACATGTGGTGTTCAAAGGCTTGCAAATAGTTTAATCAATGTCCCCTGATTTCTCAGACATCCTAGCTATCCTCCAACATTATATTGATTCATTTGGAATTTCCCCATTGT